ACCTTCATTTTTTTCTGAGCAACCCTTCCTCCTTTACAAACCAGCTTTCTTTCTCCCAGAAGCTCAGTAATACGCCTGCACAATCTCAGTTCACAAAAATCTCTTGCAGCCTACAACCCTCAGAAGTAGGAAATTACACACTTGGGTAAAAGCGTAAATTTCTGCCTGAAAATGATTCAAAATAATAGGCAGTTTCTGTCAGTCTACAGCAGCATGATATTAGAATCTTTATACTACTTTTCACATGCTAGTGGGAAACTGAATGTTTTCTAATATTTAGCTGTCCAGCTGCACCATGTAAATTACTTTGTTTTCTAAAAAATAAATGAAGAGAGCATGTCTACCAAGTCAACAGCGTGATTATTTTTGCCAGAGCAAGTGTAATAATTAGTTTTCTAGGCAGGAGGCCACAGAACTAAGGCACCACATGGAAAAGAAAGAGTAACAGCATATGAAACTTCTACCCATTTCCAGACCCCTCCTCACCTCCTGGATTGCCAGCCAAGGGCACAGTGCTTTGGGGACACTGGACCCTGAGTGGCCGCGTGCACTGGGAACCCTCAAACTTATGGTTACCCCAAAACCGCAGGTTGCCTTCATGGTGACCAGTCTATCAGGCCACAGAGCTGCAGAAAGCAAAGCAGAGTCTTTCAGTCCTTTACCTATGTATTTATTAAAATATTTATAAAATGTCATATACAGCACTTGGACTGGCACTTTACCCACTTGATTGAAGAATAATTTCACATTTTGCAGCAAAATGACCTGCAGAAGGCAGGCATTGGGCCACTGGCAGAGCCCAGCCCTGCACACCCTCCAATGCGGGCTAGCAGTCCCTCCAACCACCGCTAAGATGGGCCTCACCTCAGGTGAGGTCTGGTTTGAGCCCTGCTAAGCAGGGCTGGGAAGATGATATGGCTGCCAATAGCCAGCAAAAACCAACACCTTCCCAGTGCACAAAAGGATAGGGAATAAGTTTGAACCCATGCAGAACCCTCTAAGGTTTGTAACACAAGTTTCCAAAGCTGCTTAAGGGAATTTGGCACCCCTTTCTCCTCCCCAGGCCAGCGTGGTTTCAGGCTCACCACAGCCTCCATAGCTACTCTGAAAAACCCGACCGGAAAAGATTACTTGGGCATGTTCCATAACTTCAAAAATGTAAACAAGATGAAGCTGTACTAGACTCAATGTCCACAACCCCAAAAAAATCTAGCTTGGAATTACTATTATAAGGCCATATTTAACTGTCTCTAGGGAACACGTACCAGGAAAATCCATCACAAAAGCAGCTCAGGAGAAGGGCATATCTCAAAGGGACACTGCGTGTGCTCGGGTGCTGGGAGGTGACCACTGCCCACCCGTAGCTCACTCACCCTCTGTCTTGCTTCCAGGCTCCTCTCCACGCCGGTACCGGGACAGGAATATTCTTTGGCATCTGCCTGGTTACTGGAATTGTGGCTTTTATCGGGTATTTTTACCTCAGGTTCAGGAAGAGAAACACGAGCTTCCAGCACTTCAAGGTAGGTGGCAGACAGGAACGTGAGGTGGGGGCTCACGGCTTCCCCAGACCCCCTGCACCTCCTACACTCACGGCCTCCAGTTTCTCCTTGCATTTTATTAAGGTACAAACATTGCCCACTGCTTCCCACTTGAACCATTCAGACTAAGACCTGGAGAAAGTGGGGAAGGCTGACACATTTGTCTTGGGCACGAGCTTACGTTTGCCTACTGCTCCCCCAGGCCTCTCCCTTCCAGGGTATCTGATGGGCTCCTGCTCTCAGAGACAATTCCAACACCAGGGACTGGCCAAAAGCTCATTTAACTGCACAGCACAGCAGAAGTCTCTGCCTCACCAGAAAGCTCACTCCTTAGGGAAGCAGGTACTTAAAACCACCAAAATGGCAACTGTTCTCTTCTCCCTCCTCCGTGGCGTTGCTAATAATTTTGCTGCTCTGGAGGTTGAAAAGTTTGAGAGGAAAAAGGCCAGATTCAAAAGACAAGCAAATTGAAATTGATTGTCAGGATTGAAAAGTGCAAATTTTTATACTGATGCACTCTCATGCTCGCTTTTTCTTAACTAAGGTAGTATCATGACAATGCAAAACCAGCCAGCAACAGCCAAGCTATTCAGAAATGAGAGATGACCCCCAAAAATGTTAGAAAATACACAAGAATCAATCCAAAAGAAAGTCTACCTAGAAGTAACCAGAAATCCCTTCCTATTCCAGCCCCTGCATATAACGTGAATCATCTTTTAGAAATAAAAAAGAGGAGTCATGAGCCAGGGAAAACACTTGTATTTTTATATAGTTGCAATGAGAGCACTCGGGACCAACTGGGTACCTTTTACCCCAGGCATAATGTCAGGGCAACACTTCCTCTCCTGACCTTTGCTGAGGCTTAAGAATAATAAAGGAGAGGAACAAAGGTACCAACGTTACATGATCTGAGACAATGCAACCACCCAGAACACAGTTCATGCCCAGAGACATTAATTTAGATGAGAAAGCCAGTTGATTCATGACCCTGCACTAGGCAGCAGTGAAGCTTAAATGCCCCACTTTAATGCACTGTTAGGAGGAGATCGGATTTTAAGCAGGTTTGTGTGATTTCGTGCAGTCAAAAGATGACACTGATGTAACATCACTGGACAAGTCACAGCCTGCAAATATTGCCAACCCCTCATACAAAAGTTCTTCTGTGCTGACTCCACCAGAACCTACTTATGATCTTTTCTCAGTAAGTGTTCATTTTCATTTGAGATTGAGTCACAACTAAAATAATAGTAAGAGGGAATGACTTTGTGACGGGAAAATGTCTAGTTGGATAAAAAGAAAAATTAATTCAGGAAAATACCATTCAAGTTCCTGGCTTTCCTGTCTCACCACTGCTAGAAATTGGGTAGTCTCACTTGTAACAAAATCAAGGCTGTGGTCTACAGCTGCATCTCAAATCTGCCTTCAAAGGGAGCTGAGTTAAATTGGATTTTGAATGCTACTGGAGGTCAGCGGCACTTCTATACAAACTTACAAAGCCTTCTGAGTTTGTCTTCCCTTCTTCTTGCTCTACACTTAGCAGAGTGCCACGCCAGCACTCCAAACAATCTGAAAAAGCAGTGGGAAGGGAGCTGGGAATCCAGGGAAGGAAAGATTGAGTAAAGCCAGAGTATCTGAATAGCTTTAATCGTCCAATTCAGCCAGACCCTCATGGAGATGGAGAGCCTAAAATCAAAATAAATCTTTCTGCATCCAGTAAAAAGGCTTGTTTGGTGCAAAAATTTCAGGTGCAAGCTTTGCCATCTTCATAGACAAATTTGAAAAAAAGAGACTTTCATTTCTTAACACAATGTTTGAGTCTGATTTTCTTTTTCTCCTTTTTTATAGGACTCAGATGACCAGCAGCTTGTGATAAGTGGCCCTCACGATCAGAATTAAAGACTGAACTTGGCATTAGGCAATTATAAAACACATTTCTATTTACGCTTACTGTGAAAAAACAGCACCTACATCTTTCAGGAAATAAAATCTCATTACAAATTAAAAAACAGAAGAGCACAGCTTTGTTTAAGGGTTCACAGAGTTACCATCCTCAGAAGTGTTGGCTCTATCTGAGCAATGCCAACTGAGTGCCAAATGCAAAACTGAGTCTCAACTAACCTACCCAAAAGCAGCCACCTCTCTGTGAGAAGTAGAAGAATTTCACTAGCCTGCTATTTAACCGCTTTTATTCTTCTTCACAGACTTTAAAATGGCCTCAAACACATAGGGCTGCTAACTTGGCAAATATCCTAATTTTGTTCATACTCCAACTCTTTTATTTTGGCTACAACTGGCAAGTGTGAAACAGAACATGTGTTAAAGCTGTATTTTTAAACTGAGGGAATGTTTGCTAGTATATTTTCTTGTAAGAATTTCAGCAGCCGGAAACACAACTGTCTGCCCTGCTTGCCTCCTCTAGCTTTTCTGTCTTTCCTCAAACTTGGCTGTGTTTTGTTTATACCTCACCTCCTTGTACAAAGAGAAATAGTAATTGTAGCAGCTTTAGCAAGAAATACAGGTGATCCAAGAACATTCAGATAGTAATCAATTTTTACATAACCTGTTTTTGTAAAAAGTGGATAATGAAAATGAACATACCCTTGCAACGTCATGTCTACATTCCGTTTTTTAGGTTTTTATGGAATATCAGGTCAAAAGGGATGTCAAGAATCATCTGGTCAAGCCTTTCTTGGCAAAAGCACAACTTAGACAAGATGGCCCAGCAGTTTGTCCAACTGAATCTTAAAAGTGTCCAGATGGGGAAACCACCACTTCCCTGGAGAGATTATTCCAATAGATTTTTTTAGTTTTTAGATGCTACTCGCTTGTTCACTGACAACATCTTCACCAAACACGTTAACACTGCCTTTCAACCGATGCACAGCTGCAATTTTCAACACACCAGTAGAACACACTCGTATCAAACGAGTTTGATTCACTGTTGTTTCCTTCCCTCAAAACATGAACATCGTAGCAAATTGTAAAAACACTATGGAAACCACAAAAAGGCAAAAAAAGGGGAACTTTCTTGCTGGCAGCAGTGACGTTCCCTTCTGATCTGCTTCCTGGTGTCTACCATGCATGGCAGGCAGGAGGGATGGCGTCTCTGCAGGAAAGCGTTAGTTACCTCCAAAAGCATCCTCCCAGGATGCCTCCCATCAGCACAGGGTGTGCAGGCAAACCCAGGGGTGTTGATGCAGCTACCCAGTACAACCACAGGAACCTAATGGAAAAACACACCTGGACAGAAGAGTGAAGTCATGTCCCTAACTCCATCCCTTGCTCCCTTACACGTGCCTGCTTGGTTTTACCTGGAAGATACTAAAAGATCTAGAACACACACACACATATATATATGTATTTAGGTGAGTTTTCCCCCATGGAGTTTTGCAATCATTACAATGCATGTTCTTTCCTTCTCCCAAATCACCCAAAACATTAAGGCTCATAAAGACCAGAAGATAAAGTCCAAGCATTTATTTTTGTAATAATCATTAAATATTTTTATCACAAAAAAGGTTTCCACAGTTCATTAAACTCTTCTTTTACTGACAGAGACAATTCTCTTCAGAGTTTTTAACAGAACATAAAGCTTCTTCTTTCTTTGGTGTTCAAATGAACAATACTCCCAAAATGAATACAAAGAGACACTGCCATTTAAACACGCTCAAAAATCTCTGAAGTCAGTAGCGTAACAAGGTTAAAATAAGTAATGCAGAGAGCGCTGAGGTGTACAACTCAAGGTCTCTGAAGTCATTACAAAAATGCAAGACATTTTTAAAAGTTAAAGAATAGCATTCTAGCATTGAAAAATAAATAGTACAGTTTAAAATTCTCACTTAAAATCGTATTATATATAGTTGGGTTGTTTTAAAGGAACATAACCCTCCCATAATGATTTTTTTTTTCCATGCAGTGTTGCTTATTTCAAGAAGTCATGCAATATAAAGAGGATTTTACTTCAACTGGCTTTTGTAACGTAGCTTTATACAGAAGTTTTACTTGTAAGTTAAGACGAAGGAAGGAGGAGGAGGAAATCATCTTAAAGCAAAATGTGTATTTTGTGGATAACATCATCCAACCCATTTAGACTGTTCCTGCTTCACACAGGAAGATTAGGCAAGCTGACTCCTAGCCAGCTTTAAAAGAAACATCACAAAACTATAACCAACAAAACATTATCAAATTCAATAATGCAGAACTGAAAAACACAATACTATTATTTGCTGGTAGTGAGATGGAGAATGTGCAGTGGTTTGGGGTCTTCTTTTAAACAGTGCATTGAAATTTCTGGAGCATGAGAGGTGCTACACACACGTAACACCCAGTTCGGTTCTAGCTGAGCTTTAGGATAAAGAACTGAAGGCAAATTGGGGATTATTTCCATCCCCACATTTCATTATCAATTTAAGTTAAATATTTCTTGCGCAGCCCCACCAACAAGTCTCCTGATAAAGCCAAACTAACTTCCTGCCAAACTTTATCTTTTTCTTCCAGCAAAATAGCAGAACTGTCAGATGAACTTACTCATTTCGAGTACATTCATCTGTTTAAATACACACACTTTCAGAGTGTTGCACTTCAAGTTTGAAACAGGAGCACAAGAAAACCACGAACATAAAATCTATAACTGCCTCTGAGGACTTCAGACTGATTTCAAGCATAAAGGAAAACTGCTTATGAAATTGTGCAGGCTAGATCAGAATACATTCTTTACTTTGCAAACTTGTTTTTAAAAATAGGAAAGATACTGCATATGAAATTCAATATAGGTACTTGCACGTAATACAGACAGGTTTTTTTTTTTTAAAAAAAAAAAACAAACAAGAAAACTTTTGGTCACCAAAAGTTTGCTGACCCAACAGTCGTGGTAGGAAGCAAGTGATATCCCAAAATGAAGAATATCAAATGCTATATACTTCCTTCATTATATGCTTTTAAAAACAGAGCCTTTAATAACTAAAATTTGAAAAACATTCCTCATATGATGCCTTCTAAAACGGCTGGGGTGGGAAGCACCAGTTAAAAAAAAAAAAAAAAAAAACATTTCCTTTGGATGCAGAGAGAGGAAAGCATCCTTATTTAAAACCAACCATATAGTAGTTCTATAAAGTGCCTGTTTGAGGAAACACATCAAGAGATGTTTTCCTTGTGCAAAATAGACATATTTCAGCTCAAATCTTTGGAACACATATGCTACCCAGAGTTTGTGTTTGTGCATTACCTGCAATTTCAGCAATTCAATAAAACTTCTAATTTGCACCGTCAAAATTATATTTGCAAACTATTCTCCACCCCCAACTCAGCTTTGAGGGCTTGAACTAAAAAAAAAAAAAAAAAAGTTATCAGAAAACTCTGGGTTTCGTTTTCTCATTTCTTAATTTTTCTTTCAACTCATTTCCCCATTGTGCGTGTTTAATTTTGACTGTAGAAGTCCATTACTGAAGGCCATATGAAATACATTCTCTCCCAGGGAACAGCAAAACCACATTGCAAACCACTATAAGACACTGTTAAAAATGTCAAAAGCAGCATTTAGGATCAAATCTCAAGCCTGACGGAGATCTGTCTCCGCTTTGAAATGCAAAATGCAAGAGGTCTTGAAATGGCTTTATTATCAGAGAGTGGATGTTTAAAGCGTTTTGAAGCTTGAAAGGTGCCTAAAAGTTAACAAAAGGAAGCCGAAGCAGCCCAAGTTACTGCCACTTTCAGTTTTCGGTTCAGATCCACCTACAGCCAAGCACAGACACGACAAGAACAGAAACTGCACAGGCAGGAGAAAAAGCCCGTCAGCCCGAGCTGGAGCTGTAATCGCTGCAATGCAGCGGAGCCACACCAACGCTGCAGCAGGTGAGGCTCTGGCAATGGCAGTGAGGGAAGTTAAAAGGCATACACCATCCCCCTCAGTCTCAGGGTAGACTGGCCACTGCCTATCACTGAATTACTAATACTGGATTTAAGCCTTTTGGTGCCAAGAGCCATTACAGGCTCCAGCTGGAGTTCTGATCAGGGCCAGAACAGAGTATCTCTCTGTAAACGACAAGGCTGCAGATCAAAATTTCCAATGAATAAAAAACAACCACCAGTCCATCCCCTCAAATTTGCCCTCCCTCCTAGTCCACTATTTTGGCAGTCAATGATCTCTTCTATGCGTAAGAGGAGTTTAAATATCTCCGAGCAGGAGAGAAGAAAATAGGTACAACACTTCTGAGAACAAGCATGAATTACATCTAAATCAAGATAACAGATTTAAGTGACTTAAATAAAATACATGTACATTCAAAAAAAAAAAAAATATATATATATATTTGCCCATTTTAGAGAGAAGGCGCCAAGTGTTTATTTGATCTGAACTGTCTCTTGTAGGAAAGGTAGTCTGAATGTACCAGTGCACAGCTGGTCTGACCAGCCAGGAAGTTCATGCTGCAAAGGAGTCCTTCTTGGATAAAACGTGTAATCCGGCTCATAGTTCAAGAGACAACTCAATGATGCCATGTAGATATCCGCAAATCTAGAGAGACGTCTTAGGAAATAAGTTGGATTCTCATCAGTTCTGAATAAGCTTCCAAATTGTGCGTTGAAGAAATTCCTGTTCATCTCCCTGTCCCCCACAAAAAAAAAAAAAAGAAAACAAGCAGAATGAAGCAAACATACCTGCACACACCTCTTTCCCAGCCAGCATCCAGAACCTGAAGCAAACAGTTCCTATAATCTCTTCTATGCATTATTCTCTTGCCATTGCGCTTCAGACCACATAAACACACCACATAAGAAATTTTTGCATCTCTTTGACCTATGTAGCCCAGATCTAGCAAACACAGTAGTAAACAGAAGAGCTTCACACTTCTCCCACTAAAACTAAGGATAAGTTGCTTCTGACTTCAGAAACATGGCATCTTAAGCTTTCCTTTCTAGAGACCGTGAAAAAGACTTTTGCCTTCATTTAAGTCCTAATGACATCCACTTATTCCAAAGAGAAAAGGCTTTTTTAAAAAATGCAAAGATTTGCCTTAATGTACACAAAAAGTTTAAAGACATCTTGGAATGAAGCTCTGTTACTAGTTGCTGTCAAGAACCATTCCCATTTGATTTACTGCCACGTTTCTGGGGAAGGCAGCTGGTGGTACAGCTGCTGGCCTTGCCAACTGTGCACTTCTCACACCCCGCCTTTAGGGATTGCTCCTTCCTGACAGTAGATTTTTAGGAGTTTTAGCCCTATTACCTATCTCTGTGATGAGTCCACTGCTAAACCCAGTCTAGTGCAGAGCCCGGTTTGTGCGTATTCTAAAACATACTGTATGTAATCTGGAGAAATCATCTACAGAAACTGAAAAAGTGACCTAAGTCTTGAGACAGAAACACATTTTTAAACCACACAGAAGTAAAACTGTGTAATCAAAAGCAACAGTGACAGCTGGACACAGAGGGACAGGAGAACTGAGATGAGAAGGAAAAATATGATAATGATGTTACGCTTTCATGCAGAAAACTAACATCTGTTCCAAAGAAGGGGAACAAGGAAAAGGGGGTCAGATATGCACAAAGGGTCAGAGGGGAGAAGAGCTGCACTGGAGACAGGTGCTTTACACAGATAATTTTAGAAGGTCTGTAACTACCAGGGAATAAAAATCACGGATGGAGAGAAATTCTGAAGAAATTCTTCTGTGGAAGTCATCAAATATAACACTTGACTACAATGAAGTATATTGCAAATTTTTCATCTCCCATATCTTACCTCAATGCCTTTCTTTCCTTCTTCCATTCTTCTAAAATCATTTGTGAATCAGGATCACGGTGAACCTGGAATGTAAAGTATGGATGACAGGTGACTAAGGATGCTCTTTTAAGTGAGCTTTTCCATTAATAAACCCTTATCAGCTAACAGGACAAGAGCATGGTTCAGAAATCAGTACACAAAAGTTATCCACGTGCATTTTAAACAACAGAAAGCAGGAATCAATCCAGGCTGGCCAGTGGAGGAAGGGGACAAGATTTATGAGAAAACTTTTATTAATTAGCTGCACAAATAATTGCATTTATTTAGCTACAGTCAAACCGGTGAACTTCAATGAGACAGAAAACACTTGCAGCATCAATATCCAGTCCAGCATTTAGAAACTTGGCTGGATCCCTTCTGCTATACAGAGCCGATTACACACACACAGACACACACAGAACAAACCTGCATGTGTTCCAGTAATCCTGTCAAGGTTTGCAACCAGGTCATGGTTTGAATGTACTTCTCTGTGTTCATGATTTTAATCTCTGATCGTAACTCTGGAATAATCGCACCAGTGCGCCAGCCGTGCTTCAGGGTCAAATCCTATTTACCAAGAATTACAAAATATAAGTATTAGTCTTAAAAATAACTACTTTAAAGAACTGAAGAATTTGACCATTGTTTATCCCAACGAGGCACTAATTTAATTGCTTCTTATGTACAAGCAGAAATATTAAACAGTGGGACTTAACTGTGCCAATAGGCAATAGCATTTAATTTCAGAGTAAGCTTCAAATCCCACATTTTTAAAGATAGAGAGATAAAGAACACATAAGCACTTTGCAAATAAAACCCAATTCATTAGGTTTAAAGCAAGCAGTAGGAAATTCCGGAGGATAAGACCTCCACTGCTGTCAGAAGCACCTGGAGGAACCCACGTGTCGGGTTTGTGGCAGTTACCCATGCGCTCAGCTGACAGAAGGGTCCTATCGGGACCCTCAGCTATTCAAGCTCCTCCTGACAGGTACAGGACAAGGCAGCTGCTGCCTGAGCTCTTTTCTCCATTGTGGCAGAGAAGAACAGAGCTGCATCCTCCCTCCTTTGGCCCTCAGCCTTCTGAAGCACCCAAACGTCTCTTTCAAAAAGTAGATTGGGGCAAAAATGTTAACATCTGCTGCTGCTGAAACTTGTTACCACAGCTCAACAGCAGCAAGTCATATCCAGGCATTCATACAAAATCAATTCCAAAAGGGTTAAGTTGTGGTCACTTACTCTGAAGTAACACTTAAGAGTACATTTGCTTGTAAGGTAGTAAGAAAATGCCTGGATAGTGGGGCTACAAACCATAGCAAGATCTCAGGAAGAAAGAAAGTTTACCATTAGTGACAGGAATTGCCTCCTGCCATTCAAAACAAAAGTTCATTCAGCTCTTATTACACTTGGTAGTAAATGTCATCCAAATCAGCCACATCCTGTACGTTTGGGTATCTGTGTTTACTCTGTTACATCTGACACAATCAGGATCGGAATCAGGAACACAAACTCACACATTCCTGAGAGCCATTTGTAAACAACTTAAACACTACAAGTCAGGTGGAAAATATGGTCGGCTTCTTACAGCACCAGTTTCCTTCACTGCAAGAAGAGCAATATGGCTTAACTACCATCTCAAATTTTGTTGTATTTAGAAGTCTCAAATGAAAGTGTATTATATTGAATAACGGAGAAGGAAGAGAGGAAAACTAACAAAAAGCCTCATCTTTTATCGTATTTTGTTAAAATAAACTACTTACTGCCAAGTCGCTGTAAATGTGATCACCAAAGTAGAGAACCTTAGAGCCCCTCCAGCCAGTAAGCTTCAGAAATTCATACAAGTTACCCTGTGGAAAGAATGACACATACATTGCAGCAGCATGCGACATGCACCCTCAAAGGCATGGAAAAAGAACTGAGTACATCCAATAAACTACTTACTGCCAAGTCGCTGTAAATGTGATCACCAAAGTAGAGAACCTTAGAGCCCCTCCAGCCAGTAAGCTTCAGAAATTCATACAAGTTACCCTGTGGAAAGAATGACACATACATTGCAGCAGCATGCGACATGCACCCTCAAAGGCATGGAAAAAGAACTGAGTACATCCCTAAAATATTTTCCTAGCATCTCGTCTTCAGTTTAAATATTACGAATCCCAAATTTTACAGGCAATTTCAGTAACATTATCATTTCAAGAGGCAAGTAAACTGCAGACATACAATACCAACAATGAATTTGTACCACTTCAATAATTAAAAGAATTCACTTTAAAATCATATCTACTTTTTAGGAGTCTTGATGATATCTAAAGAAGCTTGGGATTCTAGGAAATAGGTATTAAATTTGAACTGAAAGAGTTTATTGAAAGCATACCTGCTTGTAAATCTGACCTTTCTGCAGCTTGTGAATTTTGTCCCAAAGCAACACTCCCCTTTCATTCACCTTCCGAAATGGTCTAGAATTGAATTATATACAGTTGTTACATTGCTGTAGAAATTCTGTCACCTTTTAGGAGGAGATTAAAATTTTAATGATAAAAATATTCATCTTTCAAAAGGAAAACATGCTTTCTAGCTCTCATTTTGTACAACTGAACAACTTAAGAAGCAGGCAGAGGACTGCGGGCAAGACATAGAGAAAAGTTCTTTCTAAAACTAAATGAAAAAACTAGTAAAGGAAAAAAAATAAATCCCACCTCCCTCTATCTCACTTCCAAATCATAAGTACACAGAAAGGAACAGGTCTTTTTCAAGTGTAAGACTAGTGCATACGCATTACAAATGTGTTTACTTAATTGAACAACTAGTCCAAATACGCCAGCCTGTCAGCCAGTCTGCCCTTTAAATATCATGTGTGACTAAAAAAAACCAGAAGCAATGAAAGACACTTCCAGATACGGGGCTGATTCTGGAAGACACCAAAATTTCTCAGGTTTATTAAGAAAGGAACATACTTCACCAACTTACAAGCTAAGAACATCTTGTAGGACCTTAACTCAGACCAGTAGACCTGTAACAGCTACTGGAACCATCTTCGTTAAGAAATTGCAAATATTTGGACTTCAGAATTGGGTGTTGCTGCATTCTGTACTGACCTTAAACGGTATTTCATCAAGTATGATTTCATTTTAAATTGCATCCAAATGAAAATATTTCATAAGACGCTCCGTAGCCTTATATGGAATAAGCTGCTTGAATCATTCTTTGCTGATTAAATACCCACCTTCGCTTATCGTTGAAAAAGTTTGGCTTATCAGCCTGCACAATGACCACATCAAAGAGATCCCTCCAGTCCTTGCCGACTATGAACTTCATGCCTTTGTCCCTAAAAAGGACAAAGTGATATTAACAGTGAAGTGTAACAGGAGTGTAGTTATCTGTGCAATAAAATTAATTACATTAGAGAACATCATCCTCTGCATCCTTTAAAAAAAAAAAATTGTATAGTTGAACACCAAAGAACCGTTCACTTACACGAAGCTGCTGGGACTGTTTGTGATGAGAAACATCTTCTTGCCGTGATCAGCCAACTTTGCTAACACCGCACGAGTTTGTTCCGCATAGCAGATGTATTTCTCTTTAGGGATTAAGGAAAATATAATATTAACTGAAAAAGATTTTCAAGAGAATTTTCTCTGCATTCAACCAAGGGTTCAGAACATAAGGTTATACTTAACAAAGGCACCTTAGACAAGTGGAAATAACTCTTTCAGGCTTTAAAATTTAGAACTTATCATCTTAAATAAGGAAGACAGAAAGATCATTATACTATCAGTGCAAAATGCTTTGACAGATGATCTCATTAGTACTTACCAATATCTGCTTCAATTGCTCTGTACATTATTCCTTTGATGTGGACATCCCTGATTGAATCCTGTCAGGAAAGCAATAGAGCACTAAAAGAACTGAAAAATCTTTTCAAGTACAAAAGCTGTGCTCACTGCACAGCAGTAGTAATTTGTTTTTAAAGCAATTCCTTTCTCTGAATTACACTTTCAACTTTACAGAAATGCCACGTGATGTTCATTATGTAAATGTCACCACTAGATAAAGAGTACGCCGGTCCTCAAAGAAACTAACTTCATACATTTGGGAAGTACAAAACTGGACAGCACAGGGGCTATTTTACATAACAACCGTGAAAGGGCACTCAGAAGGGTGAAGTGGGGTGAAGGCTCTGCAGAAGCAGAGTCATCACAGATTTCTAATGACCTTTGGAGCAGAACACATTCCTTTCCTTCTGAAAAAAAAACAAAAAACAAACAAAACAACCCACACCACACAAAAAAAACCAAAAGCTTTACGTCAGATAGATTTTAGATTATGATCACTCCCAAATGCCCATGTTATTTCAAAAAAGAAATTTATGAACAGATGAAAGAAGCTAAATGCTTAAGCAAAAGCATAAGGTGTTTTGAAGGCATTTGGCAGTTCTCCTGAGGCAGCTCTGTACCAGGTTGCTTTGCTTATGATGCTGGTACTGCCATTTTGGTACTTAGATGTAGCATGTCTTAAAAATCCTCAAAAAAATCCACTATTGGGGTTCCAAAATGTTGTTAATGCTGAGCAGTGCAGAAGTTTCTACAAACACTTCAGCAGAAACTACAAGAATGAGCCTTCTGACTCTATGTAACCGTACGCAGAAGGGAAAATTACTCTGGACGTCAAAAGTTTCTCAATACCTCTCTCATCTACTTGGGAAAGTGTGAAACTCAACATTCAGGTGCACCACGTATGCTGACCAACTACATGAGTTTAAGACATGTCAGCAAGGGGCCAGGAAAAGCTTGCGGATGGAAAGCTTGTGTGGACAAATGCCATCAACTTGAGCATGACCTCTTCTGTTCTTAAATAACCACAACATAATTTTATCTCCTCTGCAGGATACATCCTGAGTAATCAAGAGGGTCAAATTACTCTGGTCATTATTACTAGATTTTTCTGGAGAAGGAAGAGAGGAAAACAAGCAAAATAGATATGTCAAAAGTAAGAGACAGCAAATGATCATATAGTAGTGAAGACACAGAAGCAGCACAACTGAAAGCTCCAAACTGTAATTCCCTTTTTACCTCTTACAATTCCTGCTACTGAGTAAAATCTACATTTTACTGATGTAAAAATTCATCTTTAATAACAATGAAAAGAAGCTTTATGGACACACAAGAGCTCCTTCACTTTCACCCTAACTATGCCTCAAACCTACAAAGAGAGCAACAGCCCTAGAACACCAGATTTAAAACAAGTTTCAAATTATTCTATGTTTCTTTTCCAAGGTCTATCTTCATTTTACTTACATTTTAATGGTTGTTATAGCCATAATTACTCTATACAAAACCTTAAGTTGAGGTATTTCACTGGAGCTGAAACAACAGGTTGAAGCTTCCTGAAGTGCTCACAGAGAAGACACACAAGTGTAGAGGTTTACCTAAATCTTCAAAGCTAGTACCTTGACATCTTTGTACAGATGAACCGGTTCATAGTCTATGTTGTTTTTCAGAAAATATTCATTCACACAAGAAAGGAGTGTCATTTCTGGCAAGGAAAATATATCCATGAATTGCTTCATTGTATTTCCTTGTGAGCTCTACAGGGGTGGGAAGAAAAAGAGAAAAAAAAACATGTCAGGCATTTCTCAGATTAGAATACTCTCATTCATTCAGTATAAACACTTCAGCTTAGTTGCAGATATTCAGCTTTTGCCATCACTGTTCACACTGCTTTAGATTCTTTTTGAACTAACAGACTTCCAATCAAATAACTCCAACAAAAGTGATGGCTTTATTTTAAGAATTAATCATGAATAACTACTCTTAAGAGCAGTGTTTTAATTCATAAACACATAAAAGACAGTGCTCAGCTAAAAGTCAAGAGAAGGACTTAGGGGCCTTCAATGGAAGTCTGCACTTCTATAAATGAGGGGCACTGGGGATTGAGATGGGGGTGGTGGAGGTTTTGTTTATTTGTTAGTTTTTTTAGTAAGTGGAATACTGACCAGGACTTCAAAACAATTTACCTCCTCGAAAAGAGATAATCAAAATTTTTAAGAATCTACAATCTCTGATCCTCATGCAGGAACAGAGGAAAAGATTTCTAGTCTGCAAAATCTGTAACTACAGTTAAATTTCACAAAAGTAGAGAACCTCATAATACAAGAGCAAATACAAACCAAATACTTCTCAATAAGAAGAGGGGTAAAGCAACCAGACATCCTTGCTAGTCAAGATCAGAACACTAGTCTTGACACTTGTCAAGATCAGAAACACAGAATGGTTGAGGTTACAAGGTACCTCTGGAGGTCATCTTTTCCAAGCCCCCTGCTCAAGCATGACCACTGAGAGCCAGTTCCCCAGGACGTTGCCCAGATGGCTTCTGAATATCTCCAAGGATGGAGACTCTACAACCTCCCCCAAGCAACCAATTTGTGCTAGTGCTCAGTCACCCTCACAGTAAAGAAAGTGTTTCCTGATGTTCAGAGGAAACCTCCTGTGCTTCAGTTTGTTTCCACAGCCTCCTGTCATTGTCCTTTCCAAGAACAAAGAAAGCATGGACCTGCAGAGACCAAGGTATCCCACAGGGAATGCCTGGCCAATACTCAGAACTGCTGCACAGACCAGATTTGGGAATTCTAAGTTCAGGCCCCTAAAACAAGAACAAATGTGAGAACAACAAAATGCTCCACAACAAAAAGAAGGGCCTTTCATGCCAACATGGAATTAACACCCACAAGTAAAAGGGGTAAAATAATCTTGTTTTTTAGTAAAAAGACAGCACCATTCTTCATTTGGGAAAGCAAGATCAACTTTCCCCACAAAGTCAAGTCCTAAACTTAAAAGTTTTATTTTTTATCATTCATCTTTCATTAAATCCTCTTACTGTCACTATGGCAGATTGCATGCAAGAGCCTCCTCCGCACATGTACTTGCTGCTACATCAGCTGAGCCATTAGACCACTGGGAAGAAGTACATAGCTGGGGTAAGGTACCAGATATGCTTCACTTCCCAGCCTTTATCAGATTTGCTGTGCAACACTAAGCAAGTCACTTGATTTTTCTATGTTCCACTTCTCTCTCTGTACGGCTGGGCAAGGCAACAGTGAAAGAAAAACTACAGTGAGTGGGTGAAAGAAAAGATATTTGTCACTTTTGAAGGTAAACCACACCTAGAACTATAAATCTGCTATGTATTGAGAAAATGTAACTGCTAGTAAGTACAAGAACGACATGCAAACAGCATCACCACCACCACCCCACCCCCCCATAAAAAAAAAAAAAAAAAATCATTTTTAAAGAGCCTTTTGCGGTTTTACCTTTCCATAAAAGTCACTCATTTGTTCTAAAGGGACATGGGAACCATCATACATTGCAATAACTTCTTCATCCGGGACAACACTGAGGCCTCTGGAAAACAACATTAGCTTTAGTTCCAAAGTCAGATTAAAATTTTCAAGTAATTATCAAATGAAAGCCTGACAGATTAACACTTAGATCTGCATCTTATTAAAATACTAATAATGTCATAGGAATACTTTAGTCTGTAAGTTAAAACAGCATCTTTCCTTACAGAACAAGTAACATTTTAACAAGCTGACGCACACGGAACACATTCCAGTTTTAAGTCCTTTTTACTTTCTTACGGGAAAAGAGCTAATTAGTCTGCATTGAAACTATGCCTCAAGGGTTTGTAAGAAGTAGTTAGAGCTTCCAGTTTCTTAACACAAAGTAATTCTTCACTCTGCCTTTGTTACATACAGCACTGATGATGCGATAATGTTTAAACCTGATTATTCTGCAGCATGACCTTGAAGATCCAGGGGAAAGAAAGACACACACAAATCTTTAAATAAGAATTTATTTTAAACTGTTCAAACAATTCAGTTTCCCAAAATTCAAGATTACTTGAAGGATTGTTGACAAGTAATTAAAATACAAAAATGTAACAACAAATAGGGAAGAAGGAGACATCATCTCTCTCCAGAGTTTCTTTATCAACTATTAAAAGGCTTTGGTTTGGTTTTGAATGCTTACAGTACCAAGCATCTTGCACTAAAGCATCCAAGACACTGCAGGCATGCAAACACCCTCACCAGAGGACATAGAAATGTTGAGGTTTTGCTTAAAATTAATGTGTGAACTTCCTGAGCACCGCAGTGGTAGCAGAGTCCCATGTTAACGAGCTCCTTTACCGCACTTGGCAATGCTGCATTGACTTGTACACAGCCCTGTGTAACTGCTGGTGGGACTCCAGCATTCAGGTTCATACTGTGCACAAACACGACGGGTCATACTTTGCTTTTGTAAGATACGGAGTTCAGCATCACCCACTCCACAGCAGTAAACATGAAGAAATGCAACCAAAACATAATACGATCAGAACTGAGGACTGACTCATCTTCTAGTCTGCAGACACCTATGCCAAGTGGTATTTGAATGCTGCTAAGGAAAACGCTTGTGTATCAGGAGCTACTTAAGCACAAATCAAGAGAGGACAACAGATACACATGAAATTCAGAGAGGAAAAATGACATTAAAGGCAAAGCTGTAGATTAGTTTTACCAGAAGACTCACAGTCTTGACACAGTTCACAGTCCAGCCATGTAACTACAAAGTTAATTTTGTGCTACTGACAGCCTGGACAGCTGGCACTAAAAGCATCACAGTTCACCTAGAGCAGTGCTCACACCGCTGCTGTTGGAGACACGCATTGTTAGAGGGATGCCAGAATTGCTTACACCTTTTAGTGCAAATGAGGCTGTACGTTTGGCTGTGCAGCTGCTACTTTCAGCTCTATAATTGACCTACACACACAGAGAACATAGGGAAGGTTAAAACCAAGAACTGCAGATACGCAGCAACTGACAGCAAAATTCAGTGTTGGTATGGAAGAGAAAGGTAATCATACTTTAAACAAAATTAAGAGAAAGTATTGAGCAAAACTGTAGCTTTCATTTTTGCCCTCGCACACACTCACAAGTACCAGGTACAAGTAGCAGTCTGTGCAGAATTGCTTTGGGTGACAAAGAGAACAAGGGACACCAGCTCTTCCTCTCTAGAGTTTTCTTGACCAGTCATCATCTGGCCGCGGATGCGCCTTTAGTACCAGGAATTGACAGCAACTGTGATGATCTGCCTCTTTGTTCTGTCCCGCTCTGAGCCATAAGGCAACACTGCTGAGGGACTCATCACCCATTCCATCTTCTCATCTAGGTCACTATACACTTCCAGTCATACCATGGTCCTTCCTGACGTCATCTCTCAAAGCCTTCAGCCTCTCTTTTGCTCCCCCCATCCCCATACAGGTGTTTGGAGAAACAGCGTGCAGATGTGGTAATAACCTGACGACCAGGCTGATCCACCACATGCCATCCTTTTTTTTCCCCTCTATCAACATTTCTTCTGGTGCTCTCATACATACACATTTCCACTCATACCAATCTTAATATTTCTACTACATACTTCTACAGATAAATGTATAGCTTTGATTACTTCACCTAGGCTTTAATTTTGCAAACTAGCATTTTTCACAATGAAAAATATAAAAATACGACAGCCTTTTTAAAAAAGCCTTTCAATCAGTGACCTTCACACTGAGTTTGCTGGTTTCCTTCTAGCCCTGCATAAATGATTCCTTCAAAAACCACAGGAACAGGCTTTGTCAGTTGGAAGATACAATAATTAATTATTCTACGTCAGTGTGTATAAAACACACAAAGAAATGGTAGGACATTTCACTCAAACTCTGATGATACATAGAGAACACATTGTTTTGGCAGCTTTGGATAGCTACTACGTTGACAGCGTGAGCCTAATGCTGGACCATGCCACCTTGTTTCCTCTTTCATTTTCCTTCTCTTCCTCTCCCCTCTCCCAAGGGGCAGTTCAAACTAACTCATAAAAGAACAGGTCAACAGCTACAGTTGAATCATTTACCCATCTGCCTGACTGGCAAACACAAAGAAGTAATGAGCACATTATCATCATTTCATACTACCATACGCAGGCCCCCACAGCAAATCACCTCAGGGTTGCATTATCTTTTGGCCCCAAAAGAAAACTTTCTGTCCAGTATATTAAGAACAGTGCTTAGGCTTGCTGCTTAATTTAAAATCCGGTACCGAGTGTGGTGTTCACATCAATTAAACGTGTACTGCTTCATTACAGCAAACTGAGCCATACTAAAAACTCTCCATCCTAGAAGATCACATACAGGACGCACAACGAAGCACAGCACAGAGATTCCCAATTCTGCATCAATTCAGTAAACCCAAAAAGCATCAGGCTGTGTGGACACATAGCAGCTGTGCTCCATTCTGCAAGTACGATGTGATTGATGTGTCCAAACTTAAAAGCTCTGCGCAAACACAGCAAGACCTCTCAAGTGTCTCTACAACCACACCAAAGTCATGCTATCGGGCACTCCGTGACAATTATTGACATAGAAAGCAACAGCGGAGAAGTCATCAGCGTATTTTTAGATGTCTTTCAGCACAATTTAACAGCCGGAAACAAAGTGAGTCAGCACTATGTGACCGACCAGCCTGCCAACTTCCCCAGCTCTGAACTGGGGAATCAGCTGGACTGTATCGGTCACCAAACGTGTGCGCGTGTCTGGGTGTACACACAGAGGTGCAAAGAAAGCCCCTTCCAGTAAGGTTGTAGGATTAATTCATGTCTGTGTTTTTCAGGGAAACATTCCTTATATGAACCTAAGAGGTCCACTAATAAATGCAACTAAGATATCCAAAAACCAAAAATATACATTTTTATTATAAATAGGAAATAATTTTACCCACCTGTAAACTGTTCCCAGCTGAATATAATGAAAAGCATCAATCTTCATTAATAATGCCTTGCATGGGGGGGAAAAAAAATAATTTTTTACCATGTCAACTATTTGACATTAAATTATAAAAATTTGAACGTGCGCACGTCTCTGGGTGTACACACAGAGGTGCAAAGAAAGCCCCTTCCAGTAAGGTTGTAGGATTAATTCATGTCTGTGTTTTTCAGGGAAACATTCCTTATATGAACCTAAGAGGTCCACTAATAAATGCAACTAAGATATCCAAAAACCAAAAATATACATTTTTATTATAAATAGGAAATAATTTTACCCACCTGTAAACTGTTCCCAGCTGAATATAATGAAAAGCATCAATCTTCATTAATAATGCCTTGCATGGGGGGGAAAAAAAATAATTTTTTACCATGTCAACTATTTGACATTAAATTATAAAAATTAAAGCAATTTTATCTATAACCTTTCTGTCTCAAGAATGCCCGAGTGCCTTCATTTCAACTTCCTTCATAGCGTCGAAAATAATTTTATCAATGGTTTTTACCTAGAGCTTGCCAAAACACCATGGAAACATTGTCCAGTGATCTGAGCTAAGTCATGAAGAATAACTTTTCCTACTTGCAGATGTCTGCTGAGGTTTATTCTATTGCACTCTAAGTTGTCTTCTTTCCCCACCTCCACGGTACCCCACATTGAGAACAAAACACTCAAAACATTTTACATACTTAAGAGCTATTTAAAAAAATAAATAAATAAAAAAAATCAAGCTTGGTGTGAAAGACAATTGTACCCCACAACGAGAACAAAACACTCAAAACATTTTATATACTTAAGAGCTTATTTAAAAAAAAAAAAAAAAAAAAAAAAAAAAATCAAGCTTGGTGTGAAAGACAATTATTAAACAAAATCCTCCCACATCAACACAGAGTGAAAAGTTGGAAGACATAAAAGCCTTTCTTATTTTCTTTGGCTAGGTTCTCAGCACTACATAACTCATCACAAAGTTATTTATACATACCCGGTGCACATCATAATGAAGTCCTCTGATTGCAAAATTGGGATCATAATCATATTTCCTTATTTCTGCAGGATACTAAGAAAAGAGAGCAATGATTTGATTTTAAAACCGTAACAAAAACAAGTTAAAAAAGTTTCTGCAGAATTTTAAAAGCCCTCACTAGTCATTAGGAGGCTTTCTGATAGATGGGTGAGATTTGCAAGAACATAAATATAGTGCAAGACAAGTCAAACATTTTTCCAAAATCCAAGATCAATGTTTTAAATTTAAGTCAAGCACAGTACTTAATGCTGAACATCCAGGTACTCTGTAGTGATCACCTTTGAACATTAGCCTCTTGTTCAAAAAGCTGTTTTAATATGTGCACTTTTTAAAACAAACTAAATTCTATTAACTTCCTAAAATTTAATAGCTGAGTTACCTCACACTGTGAAATCTCCCCATGAAACAAACTATACGAACAGAGTCTCCAACAAAACCTTCTAGCTAGAAACCCAGGAACATGGCCCAATTTATAGAGACACCTGAACTTTACTGCTCCCTTCTACTGAAAGAAAGGGCAATACAACATCATCAATATTAACAGGAGAAAAAATATATATATACATTTGGCATTTTCAAGAAATAAAAGCAGCACAGCTATCTGTCTTGAGGAAGGAAGAATCTCCTAACAGGGACTTTCCACAAGGTACAGGATACCTTCAGGATCTGATCTTTGTGACAAGTTGAGCATTAAACACCATCAGGGTGAGTGACTTCAGGAGACCACCACAGCGGCCCAACTGTATTTACTCCAGACAGCACTTGTAACACCTTGTCACTTACAGATGCACACGAATTGACTATCTATGTCGTGTATTCTTCCCTCAGATTCTTTATAGACAGCATAGGTAGCTCACACCATCCGTCTAGAGAGTTTTCTAACATTTTTCAGTATAAGCCCATTTTCAGTCGATTGTAATTTTGTCCTGCTTTAAGCATAGGTTAGCCATGAAAAAACATACACGTTAGATGTGAGCCTTGGGCTAAGGGTTTTGTTCATTTGTTTTTGAAAGGTAAAATGCTTCAGTGACTTCTGACAAGGCCTGAGAAAACTATCGTTTCTTTGATTAACCAACTGAAAAGCAATCCTTCATTTTCCTCCCACAGGCTACAGCAGTGTTAGAACTTGATAAATCCATCTCAGGCATATTCTTCACCTTCTCTACAACAGTTTCCATAATATATGGCTAATTTATAGCCCTTGGGGAAAAAAAGTAGATTATACAGCTTCAACAGAGGTTCTACCTACTTTTACAAAAAATAAATAAGTTGCAATTTCTCCACAAAGTTTTTATCTATATTGAAGAGGACTTGCTCTGCAACTGCTGTAGACTGTGCCTGCACTGAGTACAGGCATCTACAGTTAAAGAAAATACACCTTTCTTCTAACTTCTGAACTTCGATCCCTACTATCACTTCCAGAAAACCTGGGGGAGACTACTGATCTGAATGAAGAACAGCATCAAAAGCCTACAGATGAGTTGGGAAGATGTGTAGGTTTGACCAGGGAATATGAAGCAGAAGAGACAGGGGAAAACATCAGAGGATGATATAGAATGTGAGCAACTAAAAACTGCAATGTACTGCACGTGCCCCCAAAGCAGCCACATCAAGCACGAGCAAGGAAATTTATTTCTGACTTTTTCAAATTTCTCCATACTTGACTTTCCTACTTTAATTCAGTCTACTAGAAGGCTGTCTTTTTGCATGCATGCCAGTACGTATGAGAAGAAACTTGAGTCTACCTTGGCATACAAATCAAAGCTTCCTTACAAGACAAACAAACAAAAAAAAATAAAACAAACAAAAATTGCACTGTTTTCTTACCCCACTCTTGGTAGGCATACATATATCTGGACTGAAACAGCAGTCCAGATAAGTCCATACATTAGGAAAGAAAGAAACCCAAGCAAGAGTTTACATTCAACACCTGCTGCCACCTCTGTAAACATCAATTTAATGCTAATTTTTCTCTTGGACACACTTCAAAATTCCTTGCTTCCTACACCACATTTTGCAATTTCTGATGAATTACCTCACATTACCATGACATCTTTTAGGTTGACTGTAAGAGCCATAATGGACAATACTATCTAGAAGTTTTCCTAAAGTTAAAGGCAAGCAAAACATTAACACTATAGGCAGCTACAGAGATAGCATTAATAAAAACTGTTGTCCCTCAATAAATTCCAACAGGGCATGATATATTTCAATAAACTGTCTCAGAGAGTAATTACAGCTTCATTTACTAGAACTCAAACAGATTTTAGTCAAGACAAACTGTAAAGTTATTACTACCTGAATTCATTCAAATAGTAAAGACAGAGCACCATTTGAATTTTTGTCTGCAAGAATTAATCTTTACTCCTACAGTATTATCATTTTTTTTGCAAGAATCATGTAGCTTTAATAAAGTGTTATTTACACATCCTACAGAAATTGCTACCAAGACATGCCATAATCTTAGGGGGATCAAGTTGTGTATGCTTGTAGCGCCCATGAAGTTTTGCTTGTTCTTCCAGGGTTATTTATAGATGTTTATATATAGCTCCTAACCTTTAGATTCAAATACGAAAGTGGAATAACACCACCACCCATTCACATTTAGGTTGCATAAAATACACAAGCAGTTTTATTAATTAAGTTACTCTGCGGACTTTTTGTCTTTTATTTTCCTGCAAGTTCTACAGTTCAATAAACTTTGCCTCTTTCAGTCTGCATTTTCTTCAATCTTTTCCCCCGCAATACCTTCAGTTTCCCACATCACCCATCTCCCCGGGGCTTCCTGACACACCGTAACTTCTCCGACCCCCAAACTACGCAACAACCAGCTCCAAGCTGCCTGGTTGTCAACTGGTCACCGGTGCAAACACGCTGCTTGGTGAGGCAACAGGGCAGTGCTCCCTTTTAGGGGACTACTGAGCTGAACACCTACTTGGGTGTCTCTTGGATCCAGCCCCTGATTACAGCATCACTGCCCTCGTCGTCCCTTCAGCAAGCTTGGCTGAAACCCTGGGCCCACACAGAGCACCCCTCAAACACACAGTGCAATCAAAGACCTCCTGAGAAGTCCAGCTAAAAATATTTCACATAGAAATTCATCACTGCACTCACAGCAACACGTAAATCAGTAACGTTTATGTTTATTTATTAGGGCGGCTCCAATCACTGACAATCAGGAAAAACCAAAAAACCACACCACCACCACCACATCAAAAAATAAAACAAATACAACTCTACACCTTAACAGCTGTCAGACTGTGCTCTGCTCAAACTGCAGCTGAGAATAAACCAGGACTTCTGTAGTTCATATGTAGCTGTTGTAAAAAATGTGTTATAAGGGAGCCAAGATAGGACTGAGGCATGAAAAGCTGAGTTACGACCCTCTCAGAAATTATTTATTAAACTCCTTATTCATAAGTTTATTGCTATTCTATTGATTTTACTTACCCGATGCTCATTAATAAGAAGATCTCGAGCAGCATTGAAGATCAGCGTGTGCAGATGTTTAGAATAAAAGACCAATGTGTAGTCGTAATCAAAACCATAAATTTCGATGTCTGACAGGCTCATTTCATTGTTTGAAAAAATAGCATCCGGATTCAGCATGTTACTCATAATTGAAGGAACCAACTCTGAGAACAGAGGAGAGAAAAAAAAGTTATACAAGCCTTGTAGTTTTATTTTAATACATAGAAATCCATCAGCAATTTCTGAATATAGCTAAATGATGATGGAAACTATCGCGCTAATTCACACTGACCAGCTAATCCTTAATAATATGATGCTACTGAAAATGCTGTCCCCTAATTTGTCTTGGCGACCCCATAGTTTTTATCTGAAGTGCACTTTTCTCTGTATGGTTCAAGTACAAGGGAAGATGCATTTTGGCATCCTGCTCAGAGAACCTCAGACTCAATAAATATAGTTTTTTGCTAGCTCCATTAACACATTTATTACTGCTTTTGAAAATGAACTTTGGAGTTGGAAGACACTATCATTGTTATTATTCTAAAAGCCTTGTCTTCTCCTCCCATTATTTGGTCCAATTTCTGCCCCAGAAGCAGAACCGACATTGCTTTAGTATACCATTGCTTCAATTTCTTTTGCTTCACCACTTCAAGCTTACCACATTACTGAATTTCAACTCAAATAAGTAAACTTCATGTTCTTGCCACACTTTCCAAACAACAGTTACATACACATTGCTATGTTTATTAACCTTCCAGCAAATCAAGAAACCAAAAATATATTCTGCTTATTCTCTACACATATGTACCTAGTGTGTGCAAATCACTTCCATTTTTAAGGGTGTTTCTCTTGATAGCCCTTTGAAAGGCATACTAAGAAGTTAAGAACACTTACACAGAGCCATAACATATTAAGTAACTTTAGGACCAACATCAATATTAAGGATGTTTGTATTTCTTGTTTAGAAAACTTGAAAGAGCAACGCTAAGAGACTGAACGATACCCTCCTGGAAGCACAAAACATGAGCACATTTTCTTCCTTTCCCATATACTACCTTTACAATCCAGCCTTCCTGACCAGCAGAAAAGGGGAGCTTTCATCTTAGATCTATGCTTGGAAGGAGTTTAAAGGGCATATGCTTTGTTTGGTTACTTTCTACATATAAGTCTGAAAGGAATTGGTCAAGCTTATCTCAACACCTTCATTTCTGAAGACAGATACACTATGTGCTTCATCATGGGAGGAAACCATCTCAACAAGGCAGGTAGGTGTGGGGACTCCAGATCTGTTAGAAAGATAGTGCTCCATTTTGAAAAATCTGGCCAACTCATAGAAAGACAAATAACATTTCTTTCGTAAAAGCAACGCCTTAGACTGCTGCACAGTTGGCGGGCAGATACAATAAGTAACTTATACAGATGCCCAATAACAGACAGTAATCTGACACTGTTGAACTTTATCAGATACAGATACCCAAGTCTTAATTTTTATGAGACAGAAAGATCAGCAGTTTCACTGCGCTTAATTCCAAGTTTAAAAAAAAAAAAAAAAATCCAGCATCTCTTTCACCAAAAAAGATCCCAGGTGTTCCCCATGCTTAAGATGACACAAAAGACTGTATCTTTCATTTCAGGGGATTTAACAAAATAAGCTTCAATCAAAACATTAGCTCCTACTATCTCCAGTCACTGCTTATAGTAATACAGGAGATAAATGTTATGCTCAGTTGAGGTAACAAAATAATCGAATGCAATATGACATATTATTAAAGCAAATATTCTTACTCTATAAAATAAAGGGACATGAATAATTTAACTAACTTGAACTCAACCACAGTTTTAAGTGAACTTCCAAAATCAACCTACAACACCCATTTCTGTATTATAGTTAAAGTATTTTTCCAAATTTCAATTGTGCAGCCTGGTGAGTCAACACTTGTTTTAAAAATAAAGATATTTATAGATACAGAGATAAAGATAAAGATATTTCAGATTAAAAAAAGCTTGACTAGCGCCTGTCTGAAAACAGACAGTATAAACACTTTGTCGCTATTAGACATTCTGGCTGGCACACAGCATCCCAAGTGCTATAAACCTTGGGTCAAAAATCAGGACAGCTTTGTCATCTTAACATTGTATCTAAGTGAAACATCACATAATTGAAGCCATTGGGTGACTTAGGCTGTAATAAAATATTCTGAATTACTCGAGAAGCACTTGCCTCGTCTTTTGCCAACCCACACCCACGGACTGACTTATTTTCTTCTAACGTTACCCTACACTCTAACCTCAGCTCTTAAGTATTATTTGGGTGTGGTTGAAAAAAAAAAAAAAAAGCCAATTCTAAAAAAAAAACAGGAAAAGAAAAAACAGATAAAAAACAAAAGGCATTTACTATCTTCTTCCTATGCTTTATCCCACCCCTCCAAAGTCCACAGCATTCTTCCCAGATCTCTAACACAGCTTCTCATTTCACTTGTGAAATGCTGCCGCTATTTTACGTTCCCCAATCTATGTTCGCACCCCGCACAGTGAAACCCCAGGTCATGCTCAACAAGCAGGACGATACCGTAATTTCTTCTTTTTTTTTTTTTTTTTAAGGGTGAAACATACAACGCTAAAGCATTATCCATCATCACTACAGGATAAGCCCTCCCACTTGACATTGTGGGACACAGGCTACCTCTTTCTCTTTTGGCTCTCTAAAAAGATGACACATTCAACGCCTTGGTAATACTCTTCCCATCAGAGCAAGGGCAGAAGCAAGTAAGAATACGGCCCTTAACTTTTTGCTCAGCTGTGCTGAAGAATTGGACTTCCCTGAAGTCACACATGTTATCATTAGGGTTTTACCCTTATCATTAGGGTTTTACCCTTCACGTAGAAAAAAACGAAAAAAAAATTCATCCAAACCTCGCAGTATTTTACCTATTGCAGGAAGGCAATAGTTCAGACAAACGACGGGCTTCCTGATTAGTTTTTTACATTTGCTTTCCCCCCCACAGCACCGCTCCCCCGCCGGCCGCTCTGCCCGGTACCGCGCTGTACCCGGGGCGCTCCCGAACCGCTGCGGCCCCGGCGGGGCGGGCGGGGGCCGGTGTGCGGGACTCAGCCCTTCTCCGCAGCGGGGCAAGAGACAGGGGCACTCGCTCCCATGGGGGAGCGTCTGACCCCCGGGACCCAACCCGCGCTCCCAGTTCGAAACTGGGAGAGCACTGGAGACCCCCAGGAAGGGACAGCGGTGGCTCCAGGAGCGGACGGCGGCCCCGCCGTCGGTGCGGGACGGACCCACGGGGAGAAACCCCCCAGGTGGAGGTGTGCAGCGGCTCGCACGGACATTTCCCCCCCCCAACCCTTCACCGGCGCCTCGCCCCCAACCCTTCCCGCTGCCGCAGCGGCTCCCACTCCCCGTTCCTCCCCTCCCACGCGTGTGTTCGGGTCTCGCACCGGCGGCGCCCCGACCCGCGGCGGGAGGGAGGGCCCGGCGCCCCGCTCACCCTTGGTGACTCTCTTGGCCTCCTTGTACCGCGACCACAGGTAACTCTTCATGTCGGGCGGCGGCTGCCGCTCCTGCTGCGGGGCCACGGTGCAGTACGGAGCGGGCAGAGCCCGGCACCGCCGCCCGCCCGC